TTTTTTTTTTTTTTTTCTTTTAGAAATATACCATTCAACGGATTGTGCTCGACTTTGTGCCAAGAGTATTTCGTCTGATAGGATAATCTATAATAGTAAATAGGATGACCCTTGTTGTATTCTGCCAACAGCCTCTGAGTCAGGTCAATGGGGCCGGAGAAAAATATATCCACCATGAGCTTTGCAAACGTGAAAGGTATTGTTACGAGAGATTGAAGGGAAAAGGAGAAAGAAAAAAAGAAAAAAAAAAAAATCATTCTTACTTTCTCCAATTTGCGATAACTCATTTTATATAAATCGCTTATGGTACGCGCGAATAAATTTATCGGTTCCTCACTTATCTCCTTGTATTTGCTTGCGTGCTCCACGTACTTTAAAGCCCAATCGATCATGTTTGCCACTCCGATTGGAGCTAGAAATACGAAACGTGCGGTACAACGAATTATTATTAGAGAATAATACACGGTACTTACGGCCTAGAAAAAGGAGAACCTCGTCGCGAGTATAACCCAACATCACGTCGTGATGATGAAAGTCCCCGTTATTATACTTCGTTATGGGGCATTCCGTTAGAAACGTGCTATTGGTCAGATCGATCTCGGGATTTTCTCTGGTCGGTCGAAACGGCAAAAAGTTCTGAAAATTTGAAAAAGATCGTAGAATTCGAGTTGACAATATCCTCTAATAAACTACCTCTATAGTAATATGTGCAAATTTTAATTCGATCAAATTGAAATTCGACCGATAAGATTAATTACCAAATCGATCTTCTGCGCTGCAATTACCAGACTCGATGCGGCTGCTTGACGAAAATAATTCAACAAATCGTCCTTGCTCGTTGGTACGAAATTAAGTAGGCTGGCCAGCTTGTAAGCGTTCTGAATCATCTTCTCCGGCGTGTGGTACGCCCAAAGACACAAGGGTGTGCCACTCATGCTAATTGATCGAAGAAACAGTCCTGAAAACATGGACGACAGATTAGATAGAAAATGAACAGATTCTATTCCCTTCGACATTTAAATATATATACTAGAAATATAATGTCTTTTAAAAGTATTATATATTATAATTGTAATATTATATAATGTTATATATATACACTAATATATAATATAATAATATATCTATAATAATAATATTATTATTATTAGTAATATAATATATATTATATATAATAATAATAATAATATAATAATATATTTATATAATTAAAATATATAACACTATATTAGTACTTTAGATTCCATTTAGATTCGGTGTGTACCTCTAGATCGTTCTGATAACGTATGAAAACCGACAGAAGTGGCGCCAGCGCTTTCCCCAAAAATTGTCACACGTTTTGGGTCGCCCGCAAACGCGGCAATATTTTTTTGCACCCAGTGAAGGACCAAATTTTGATCCTTTAAACCGGCGTTGCCCATTGCATCGGGGTGATCCAACGCCAAAAATCCTGAAATTAAAACCAACTCCTTAAAACTATAGTGACGAGCAAAAGTGGACGCACGTGTTTCGAATTTCAACATAAATAATATTTTTTTATATACATCAATGTTTAATAATATTTGAATTATTTATGTTAATATTTTAATAATACTTTAATAATATATTGATATTTTAGAAGTATAATATTTTAGAACTTGCACGTAGAATAGAAAAAAAAAAGCGAAATATATACTGTTGTGTAGGATGTTCTAGCTTTACGAGAGAAATTTTAGCTATTCTCGTAGATGCAAAATATTTTCGCAGAAATCAGCTTTATATCGGAATTTAAATGAAAAGTTATCGATATACTATTGTAACATCGTGTCATACAAATGAGACCAGATAGATTGTCACATTATATTCTTTGATGAAGTTTAAAATATCGACAAGTCTTCATCATTACGTTCTTCCTATTCCTATTTAAATTATGCTCCTTATATGTATAAATAATCATAAGATTAAAAAAAAGAGAGAAAGGTTAAGTACCCAAAACGCCAAGTCGATAATTGAAGCTAACGAGAACGATATCTTCTTCCATGAAGAAGTCGGGTCCGTATAAAGACGCATTACTATAACCCTCGAAATAGGCACCACCGTACATCCAAACCATGACTGGCCTTAATTTTAGTTTATCTTTAAACTCCACCTATTGATAACGATCCTTGATAACATGTCGTTTCTTTCTCTCAGTTCTTTCTAAAGTCTTCTTGATATGTGTTGCTAAATCAGCATGTAATTAAGACGATAGTTACCTCGCGAGTGAACACGTTCAGGTACAAACAATTCTCGCGACCTCTTAATTCACTCGTCATCAGATTCAACTGAGGACACATGCTGCCCTCTTCGAAAGCGTTTAATACATTTCTCCATGGCTTCTTTGGAACTGGAGGCTGCAAAACGATCATTTACTCTGTCCATAAATGTGAATATTTAATCAGGCATTGTTAGTCGCGCATTTGCAACGTTTAATAGCACCTGAAAGTAGAATTTTGCTCTGGAACGCGATTAGTAAAAATGATTTTCAAGTTGGTTATTCAGCTGATTAATATGAAATGAATTATTAGC